CACCCCCCAAAAAAAAAAAAAAAAAATTTAAAAAATTGCAAATAACCTGTCCCCAAAAATTATTATTGAAAACTAACAATAAGTTTCAAAAATTGCAGAAAAACCTCTCAAAAAGTTTCAAAAATTATAAATAATCCCTTGAAAATATTGCAAAATACCCACCAAAAAGTTTAAAAAATTGCAAATAAGCCCCTAAAAATTTGAACGACCCCCTTAAAAAGTTCTAAAAATTTCATATAACCCCTTGAAAATTTGTAGAAAACCCTAAAAAAGAAAGAAGAGGGAAGGAATTGTAGTTAGGGATAAAATGATGAAAATTTCCTCTTTGAAACCAATAATGAGTTGGAAAGATATATTTGGGGTTTTTTTTTTGCATTTCAAACTAACGTTAAGAGTTTTTTCACATGCTGATTAAGTCTTGGAGCATAATCAGATTTGCTTTATGAAAATGGGGCCTAAAGGTAATTTTCCCTTATAATAATGATATGTGTATTTGACTCTCTAAACTCTCTTTTTTTATTTGTCACCTCCACCTAACGAAGAAGATGAAATGCATGGTGTCTTTTGAATCTCTTTTGGAAAGTGTAGCGTGATGTCGCTACAAATAGAGTCGATTTCCTCCTTGTGGACTAGTAAAAAAAGGCGAGTTCTAATCTCCACTTTAATTAGAGAATTTCCTTTTTGTCGTCTTCATTCAAGAATGTTGGTCAAAATATTAGTAGAACCATGTCATATCTTTTGCACACTGCTAGCACCATTTAGTTTGCCACTATTTTATTTTATTTTATTTTATAAAGATATATTTTTTGGGATACGATGGAAATCTTGGCAAAGCATGAGGATTCTTGGGCCGAAGCCTGACTTTCATCCCTGACTCGTACTGTGTAAACCTCTACTGTGTGGATCCCATCAGCAGCTAATAGTGTTATTAGTAATTTTGTACTAGTAGCTCAATATGGTTCTTCTGCAATGGATAACTTTCCCAACATCTATAAAATTTCTAATAAAAGTACAACCTCACCGACCCAGTTAGCTTGTTCAATGTCTTACATTTCTTCACAAATAAAGAAATCAACACAATTACTGAACTTTCTCCTTCAGCGTCTATCTGGTCGATGATGATCATGGATATACTTTGCAACTGCCCCAGCCAAGGCTGCTCTCGTGTTTGGATCTCTCGTCAGAAGATTAGCACACTGTTGTACAATATCCTCATTGCTTCTAACGTTGTTGTTGTCAATATTTTCAACTTTATTATACCCACATAAGCTTAGATCGAGGGTCATCGAGGATGTTCTTTGGCCATCACTATTTCTTGATGAAGCTGAGCCATTGAATTCTTCAGACCCAGGTAATGGATGGGTGTGCTCTCCTTCGTATGTTGCCATAAGAACCGAGCTGTCATCTGCACATCGCTGAACCTATAACAGCAGAAGTAGAAATTGTTTCAACACTGAATGGTGCAACATATGGAAGAACTATCCATGAACTAGCATTAGGTTCATATTTATGTTTAAGCTTCCGCCAAAGTTTAGTAAACAGTTCTGCTTTCCATTGTTCATCATGTTATGGAGGTCATTATGAGGTAATGTACTACATTTTTTTGTCTTTGTTTTTGTTTGTGATATGGCAATTATGAGCTCTTTGAGTAGAACTAATTGACATTCAATAAGATATTGGCTGCTAAAATAACTTCTAACATGATGGATAAACTAATAAACATAGCAATAAGATCTTGGGTGCTTATGTAACTACTAGGAACGTAAGGGTAATTCAGTTCTTAGTAATCAATTACATGACTCCATGATGTTTTAACATGACATCTTGGGGCCATAGAACATCGAAAATAGGCTCGAGGAGATGAGTTATCTTTAGTAACCTTCTGCCCATACTTTTTCCATTGGTATCCATCCTTTACAATCTACCATAATAAAGTGAGAAGGGTCATTAATATAAGCTTAAAATTTCACATGCATTAAGATTATAGTAATGTCTTCAATCGAATATATAATTAACTTACCAAGCAAGGATTAGATTCACCCGTTCGTACTAGAACATGCGAAGTATTTGCCTTCAGAGGTTCGATGGGAGTCTCCTTGATCAATTCAGGTGAGGGTAAACTAGAATGACTTCCCATTTCATACATTATCTTGTTGACATAAGCTTGAAGGTGCTTGAACTTGTTATTCATTGCATCAATAAATTGTTGAAGCTCCTTATTTTCTTGTGACAAACGTTCTAATTCCACTCCCATCATTTGCATCTGAAGATATGGAGGTAAGAGACTTCTGAGAGAATGAAATGCATATCATTATATTTGATGGTATTTTGGTGATTTCTTTTTCAGTAAGGAAAGAACACAAAGAGAGGGTTACCATGGTTTAATTTTTTTTTAAGAAAACTCCTTTGATAATAAGTGAAAACGTCAAAGCTATTGAAGTAATTCAGAACTTTTTAGCCAAAAAACAAAATAAAAGGAAAAATGTTTAAGAAGTGAAGAAATTAAAGAATACATATGTATATAACTTTGATTATAAATTAAAGCAGGAGGACGAACACCAAAGGCAAGGAAAGTACAATAATTGTAATTAGCTTATGCTATAAGTTAATTGAAGGACCCAATGTAAAATCATAATTAAAAAACAAATAAAAAAAGAAGATATTGGAGCAATGAATTATATTGGAATGACTAATGCTTTTCTAAATCTGTTTAGGGTTTTTTGTTATAGTCCCCCAAATCTACCTTATTTTTAGACATCTATTCAAGAATGCTTTTCTCAATAAAAAAGAATTTTTTTTTGGCAGGTCTGTTAGGTGCATGTTAGCAAGGCGATCTGTTTGCTATTGTGCACCTCCGCCTTGATTCAATGAAGAAGAAGAAGAAGAGTGGAAGCAAGAGGGTCTCAATAGCTGAGTTAAGAAATTCTATGTTCGTTTATTCATCTGTTTCCAATGAAGGGGATGAGGTTGAAGCTTCTTCAAGCTCACCGTTGATGGAGAGCACGAGGCCTAAAGGAGCTAAGAAGAAACTGCCAATGGAGGAAATTCTTGCCAGACCTATTCCTCTCTCTGATCCTATTCCACCTCAGCACAAACCTGGTGTTTTGATTCCACGCCAGCTAGGTAACCTCTCAAATTCTAAATCTTGGTCTGATAAAGTGGAGGAGGATTTTGAATCTGAAACCATTGAAAACAGCAACGTCTCTCGTGTTGAGATTGAATCTGAGTAAATCAATGATAATTTTGAAAATAAAAATCTAGTTCTAGTTGAGAATGGAATCCCAGTTTTGGATCTAGCAAAGGAAACTATCAGTAAGGGGAAAGAAGAAATTTTTGAATCTGAAAAATATGAAAAAAGCAAAAAATCCTTTGTTAGTTTATTTGCCGATAATAGAAAGCATGGAAATGGCTTGAAACTTAATTTTGTTACATCTTCCTAAGTTAATATTGGTGAATTTTCCACTGAAGAATGGAGTGAGGGTGAAAATTTATGGAAGCATGCTTTAATCGACCATGTTATTTGGTCTCAATGTCAGATTCAAATCTATGGAAATGTATGTTAATAAAATTTGGCGTAAATTCTCTATTCCTAAAGTCTATTTGATTAAACAAGGTGTTTTTCTTTTTGATTTTCCCATGGAGCCTCATATGAATGAAGTTCTTGAAGCTGGTCCTTGGTTTTTTGACTTTAGGCCATTGGCTTTGAGGCCATGGTCTTCAGATACAGACATGGATAACATTCAGGATGTTTGCTATCCTATGTGGGTGCAATTTCCAAATCTAAAATTAAACTTATGGACTCCTACCGGAATTAGCAAAATTACCAGCCTTATTGGTAATCCGATTACAACTGATAAATGCACTACTACAAGGGAGAGATTGACCTATGCTAGGGTCTTATTGGAAGTAAATTTACCCCTAAAAGAACCTCTACCTGATCAGATTACTATAAAAGGGCCTGGGGGGAAAGTTATATTCAAAGAGTGATATATGAGCTTAAACCTAGATTGTGCACTTCTTGCAAAATTATTGGTCATACAATTGATTACTGCAGGAAACAAAAATTTAGAAAGGAGTGGGTACCTATTACTAAGAATCCTGTGACAAAAGATGTACATGCACAGAGCTGTGTTGTAAATGATGCTGGAAAATCCTCCATTGGTGATTGTGTTCAAAAAGAGGACGTTTGAATTGAATCTGATCAGTATGGCACTGATGGTTCTCTACCAATAGATCTAACTCACACTGAAGATGCAAGTGGAAAATCCCCTGTCTGTAATGTGTAAATTTCTAGAAAACATGCACAAACAGTGAATATCAGCAGATCTTTTTCCCTGGGAATACCAGTATTCACCAATTTTCATCTCCATCTGTGAATGCCACTGAATTTACTAGTGTTATCAGAGGAAAAACACTAAGGAGTATTTTTCCAAGTACTAATGCTACAGATGTATCATATTTCCAAGCTTCTCTTTTCTCTCCATTGGATAAGCAAGTGCTTTGTCATGACCCCTCTAATATTGATAGGGGTGGTTGCTTCTCTTTTCTCTCCATTGGATAAGCAAGTGCTTTGTCATGACCCCTCTAATATTGATAGGGGTGGTTTATCTCTATAATGCATTTAGCATTTTGTAAGTGCTTTGTCATGACCCCTCTAATATTGATAGGGGTGGTTTATCTCTATAATGCATTTAGCATTTTGTAATGTTAGAGGATTCAATAAATCCTCTAAACATAGGATGGTAAAGAATTTCATTAGTCAGTATAATCTTTCTCTCATAGCATTGTTAGAAACTAAAGTGGCTAAGGGAAAATTACAGTTTATCTCTAAAAAAGTGGCTAAGGAATGAGAAAGTATCTCAAATGTACATCAAGCAAATAATGCTAGAATCTGGATTCTCTAGAATAGTGACCTACTCTTAGTCCAATTCTTAAACTCCTCTGATTAACATGTTAACTGTCTGGTTGAATCAAAAGATGGCAGGCTCTCTTGTACCATTATTTTCATATATGTCGTCAATCAAATGGAGGGTAGGAGGTCTGTTTGGTAGGATATTCTAACATTCAAAAACCATGTTAATGGTTCCTGGTTAGTGGCTGGTGACTTCAACTCTGTTCTGAGTGGTGAGGAGAAACTTGGTTGTGCACCTACCTCTGATATTGATACTTGTGATCTCCAGGAGTTTATATCTTCAAGTCAACTTAAGCATCACAAATCTACAGGCTGTTTTTTCACATGGTGCAACAAACAAGATGCGAACACTAGGATATGGTCTAGGCTTGATAGAGTATTGGTTAATGATGTCTGGATACATAACTATACTTCAAGTCAAGTTGAATTCTTATTACCTGGCTGTTCTGATCATTCCCCTGCCCTTTTATCAATTAGAAATGAAGATTTTGAAGGTAAAAGACCATTTAAATTCTTTAACATGTGGATCAATCACTCTGAATTTGTTCCGATAGTTAAATCTATCTGGGAGCAAGATATCAGTGGTTACAATATGTACAAGATTTCCCAGAAACTCAAATGCCTGAAGCCTATTTTAAAGGACTTAAACAAAAAGCATTTTATGAATATAAGTGAGCAAGTCTTTAAGAGCTAAAGAGGAGCTTGAGGATACACAAAGGCAGCTGATTGATGAACCTTTCAATTCAAACCTGATTTCTAAAGAGAAAACTTGTTCCTCCAAATATCTAAAACTCCTTAATTGTGAAATCTCTTTTTATCAGCAGAAAGCAAATATTAAATGGGGGCTTCATGAAGATAAATGCTCTCAGTTGTTCCACTATTTAATGAAGAACAGAAGGCATCATAACAGGGTCTTATCATTGTACACAGAAAATAGATCAAGGATTACTGAAATGTCAAAAATCAGTAATGAATTTACTTATTATTACAAAAAACTCTTGCGGATAACATCAACAACTACTGAAGATCCTGATCCTAATGTGCTATCAAATGGTCCTCTTTCTTCTGATCAAAAAATTGCTCTGAATTTACCAGTTTCAAGAGATGAAATCAAGCATGCAGTCTTCTCCTTACCTGATGGGAAAGCTCCTGGTCCAGATGGGTTTAATACAACCTTCTTTAAATCAACTTGGGACATTATTGAAGAGGATGTTTATTTAGCTGTGGAAGAGTTCTTCAAATTTGGAAGGCTCCTTGGTGCACTCAATTCTACAACTATAACCTTGATTCCAAAAATCCTAAATCCCAAGTATGCTTCTGATTTCCGACCTATTTCCTGCTGCAATTTTGTCTATAAAGTATAGTAATAAAAATCATTGCTAGTCGAATTCAGAAGGTTATTAGTAGCTTGATCAGTGATGCACAAAGTGCATTAGTCAAGGGGAGGCTGATGTCCAGTAATATCCTCTTAGCACATGAGCTTGTCAAACACTATGGTAGGAAAAATATTTTACCAAGAGCTATTTTAAATGTTGATTTAAGAAAAGCTTTTGACACCATCAACTGAAAATTTATCAAATTTATGCTAGAAGGCTTGGGTTTCCCTAACAATATGGTTAAGTGGATAATAGAATGTATTAGTACTCCTAAATTCTCCTTATCTCTTAATGGGTCCTTACATGACTATTTCAAAGGGGCAAGAGGACTTAGGCAAGGTGATCCAATCTCTCCATATCTATTTGTGATAGGAATGGAATATCTGTCAAGAAAATTAAATGTTCTCAAGAATGATAGTGCATATAAATTTCATCCAAAGTGCTCTGGGCTGGGAATCACTCATCTGATCTTTGCCGATGATCTTCTACTATTTGCTAGAGTTGATATCACTTCCATATCAAAAATTCATAGCTGCCTATGTGAGTTTAGCAAAGTTTCTGGTTTGGAGGCAAATCCTGCCAAAATGCTCTATTTATTTTGGTGGCATTGATGATAATCTGAAATCCCAATTATGTTCTCATCTAAATTACTCTGAAGGGATTCTACCTGTGAGATACTTGGGTTTGCCTCTCATCTCAAAAAGGTTATCTTGTCTTGATTGTTCTTCATTAATCAGCAAGATCTCGGAGCAATTTCAGAACTGGTAAAAGAAGAAACAACTTTCCTATGCTGGCAGACTTCAACTTATTAAATCTGTCATTCTGGGTGTGCAGATTTTTTGGACTAGCAACTTCATCTTGCCTATTAAAATTTTGGAAAAGATTGATAGTTTATGCTCAGCAGATTTTTTGGACTAGCAACTTCATCTTGCCTATTAAAATTTTGGAAAAGATTGATAGTTTATGCTCAGATTTCCTCTGGAATCATAAGATTCATCTTGCCTATTAAAATTTTGGAAAAGATTGATAGTTTATGCTCAGATTTCCTCTGGAATCATAAGATTCATCTTGTATCATGGTCACAAGTCTGTCAAGAGAAGAAGAAAGGTGGCTTGGGACTGTTTTCTGCTAAACTTTGGAATTATTCAGCAGCATTAAAATTGTTATGGATGATCCACTTAAAGAAGGACTTACTCTGGATTAGGTGGGTTCATGGTAATTACCTATAACAGTCTGATATTTGGCATGTTCAAGCTAAGGCAACCAATTCTTGGATGTGGAAACAACTATTAAGAGTTAGAGACATGGTGAGAAGCAAATTTGGCAATCTGGCTAATCTTTCCAGCATCAATGATAAGTGCCAAACTAATGGTAAAATCCAAACCTCCCAGATTTATAGGTTGCTTGTGGATCCAGCTCCTCTGATTACCTAGTCTGAAACTGTATGGGAGGATTTTAATTATCCTAAACACTCATATGTCTTGTGGCTTGTCTCTCATTCACGGCTATTAACTCAAGATAGATTATGCAGAATGAGGATCTTTAACAATAATCTATGTGTTCTTTGCCAAACACAAAGTGAATCGTGTCAACACTTGTTCTTTGATTGCCACTTTTCAGCTCAACTTTGGAATAAAGTTATGGATTGGCTGAAATATGCTAGGAGGTCATGTAATTGGAGTCATGTCTTCAGTTGGTACTGCTGCAACCTTAAAGGTAAGGGATTTTTGAAGAAGATTAAAAGAATGGCACTTTCAGTCACTGTATATATGATATGGAAAGAGAGGAATTTGAGAATTTTTCAAAGCAAAGCTACTAACATTGATTTCCTCTTCCGAGAGGTGAAGATGTCCATTTACTCTAAGGTCTTGAATCGAAATCTTCCTTTGCATTTGAAAGAAAAGTTTGAGATGTTGTAACTAGTGATGTACATGCATGTATGGAGGGTTTCCAGGTTGTTATTTGGATACAAGTTGTATGGTATAACTACTCACTTTAATTATGAATAAAATTTCATTCATTGACCCCAAAAAAAATCTACCTTATTTTTTAAATAAGTCATCCAAATTTCATATATTTTAAATAAGTCCCGCAAATCGATCTATAAGTATTCTTCAATAAGCCCCAAATCAAATATATATGAAGTAACCTACCAATTCTCTTAAAAAGTCCCTCCAAGTTAAAAATTGTTAACTTTAGATTAGCTAAACTATATAAATGTTACTAAGTTTTTCCTCATGCATCTTCCTTAATTAGATAATACTTGCAATATGGTGTGAAGACTTCTCAACAAATAGAAATTAGGGAAAGGGCAGATGAGTTTCTGGTAGAAAATATCTAGGAAAGAGGAGGAAAAAGCATGCAAGATTAATGGAATTTAGCTAATTTGAAGTGGAGTTAATAGTAATTTTAAGATAAAGAGATTTATTTAAGAGAACTTATAGATTTTGGAAACATATTTAAAATATATGAGATTTGGAGGACTTATTTATGAGTACTTATAGATGATTTATTTACAATATGTCAGATTTGGGACATACTTAAAAATTATAAGGCTGATTCGGGGCACCAATATATTTAAAAAAAAACGATCTTTTAACATACAGTTTCACGCACCTTTTCTTCGTCAGAAATAGTGCTTTGGATCTCCATGATATTGGCGAGAAAACCTCCCTTGCAAATTTGATTGGAAAGTACAACTAAGGAATAAACGTGTTTAGAGAAGATATATTGATATGGAAACAAAAGCTCTCTGCTTTCACTTGGTCTTTGAAGCCCTTATAGGTATCCAGCGTTCAATAAATCTCCCTTTCCCTAAGAGTTGAATGTAGCTAAGAGCATGATGAAGATTCATGTAACCAATTTTTCAGCATTTGAACTTTTCACGTTGCGAAAGTTGAATATATCTCACATCATGCAAAGTTCAGCAGCCACAACCAGTTGTTGTCTTCGTCTTATCATTCAATATTAGACCACATGACTCCAAAATTAATTGGTCCCTCTCCTTTCATTCTGTCCCCAAATTATGCTAAAGACTTAGTTAACTTGTAACCCAAAGACGGCGGATTTTAAGTCTTCTAGAAAATTGGTTCAAATGTGAGAATACAAAAAGGATGAAGGGGTGAGAACAAAGTAGAAAATTATATGGGTTATACATCGATCTATACCATGATAGACTTATGATCAAACCACAACTTTCATATTATTTGTGAAGTCTAATTTATATATAGAATTCATGGCTGTAAGATCTAAAATTAGACTACTACATAATTGCACCCTACCTGATGGTAGGGTCTGAGAACAAATATTGAATTTTACAATTTGTAATGCATGATTATTTTTATAATTTCAACCTAGTAGACAGAAACCCTATATACGCTATAAATTAAACATGTCTTATATATAGCTGCTTATAGTTTCTATATTCAGAAGAGATGAGATTAGGGTTTGAGACATTTGACTTTAATCTCTTTACTGATTATTAATAGAATTGTGATTTGGTTATACTCCATCGATATAGGTATTAACATTAATTGTTGAATCAAGCTCGTTTTTTTATGTGTGTTTCTGTAATTATTTTCTCTAAGTAGTTTTTTCTAAATCTTTCTTTTATCGACATGTGGTTTGGTTTTCCGTGGTTTATAACAAGATTTTTTATTTTAAATTTCTACCCTTACATAATGGCTTAATCGAGCTAATGGTTTTGTCAACCGAAGGTCGCTTTGATGGATAGGAATGTCATGCAGTTTTAAGGAGAAACATGGGGGCGGCTTGCTGTTTTTTCGTCAAAGTCTCGAGTGGGAGACGGTCAACGAGTGCTGCCATAATGTAGAGGGAGGGAATCAAATCACGGCAATAGTAGTTGGACCATTGACGCGAATGTCATCACCCACACAAGTATACAAAAAAAATGGAAAAAAGAAATGGGGATTTTCCCTAGACACCCAAAGGTTTATCGGCATTTATTTTTCAACCCACCAATTTCTAATCTGTCACATACCCCCAGAGACACCCCAATGATTTTTAAAGCCACCTTTTGAAATGAAATTACACTAAACCCATTTAACAAACCCACCTCTTGAAAAAGATTACGCTAAAACCCACGAATGTTCAGCGTTTTGCAGCAAAAGCGTATGAACTTTCAAATAGCACCATACCCTCATTAACTTTTTTAGGAAACCCTAAAATATCTTTTGTGTACATTACACTAAACCCCAATAACTTTCAAAATGACTTTTTAATGTTGTTTTCTAGTTCTATTTTATGGGGTTATTTGAAAAATGCAAAAACTTATTCCAGGTTTCTAGTAAATAGAAAAGTTATTGGAGATTCAGTATGATTTCAAAAGTTCATAAAGGCTTACTGGAAAATGCTGAAAGTTCACTGGGGTTTAGAGCATGTTAGGCTATTACTTATTTTTTGAGTCCTTATAAGTTACTTTGTTCTCAAAACTTCTTATAAGTATGTAAGAAAATAAGGAAGTTATTTGGTAAACCTTTTTTACTTAAAAGGAAATATAAGCAGTTATGTATTTGGTAAACTAATAACGTATAAAGTTGTGTTAAATATTAAATGATCAAAAAGGACATATTGTTGTAACTCCTTAGTGTGACTAATTAATTCATTTTCCGTTGATCAGATAATTAATAATAATAAATTTATTAGTTATTTAAAGAGTAAATAGTTTATAATTAATTATAATTATTAATTAATAATACTGAGATTAATTAATTAATTATAGTATAATGAAATATTTATTATTAATAAAATTAATTCTTAAAAACTACTTATCTCATATGAAAATATATTTGATTAGAATATTTTTTATATATTGCAATATATTGTGATTATTAATTATTAATGTTGAGATTAATTAATTAAATTCATATTACTTAAATACTATATATTATTAATAAAATTGTTATTTAATTAATTAAAAGTTATTCATTTCATAATAAGAAATATATTTGATTAAAATATATATACATTATTTGTGATTACTAATTGCTAATATCATGATT